CAGCCGCGGTTGAAACTGATCAGTTTCAGCAGCGGCTGACGCCAGTTCCGACTTACATACAGATTCAACTTAAGAACAAACCTACAGTCCCTATCTTGTAAGTAACCCGGGGACTGCCTGTATCACATGCTCTTCTCTCTACATCCAGGTGAATGCCCCCTTCCTTTGTTTTTCTGTTTAATATACTTTCTACTGTTTTGGCTACTCACACATCCTTGCTACCTGTCTCAATTTCGTACTCCTGTTCTGCTATATCCCAGCACCCATTCCACTCATTTAACAATTAAAAGACACAGAGCCTAAGTTCCCCCAAGCTATTGCTACGCTTCAAAAGCGAAAGCAGTGTGGGGAGCACAGGGCCAGTGGGGGATTCAATCATCCCCACTAGGGAGGTGAACGACTAGTTGAACATCTGATTAGTAGTCACTTTCCCCACCCACTTGCTGCCTCTATCCTTATCGAATAGTCAACTAGTCATTCACGTACCTAGCTAGAAGAGATCTCTCTCCCCATGTCCTGAAGCTGCCGTGACTGGTAGAGGGGAGCTCATCCCTGCTGACTCCAATACTGAGCAGCTAGGGATGTGGGGGGGACCACTCCTCACCAGGCCAGCACTGAGCTGCCACTATCTGTGGAGGGACATCCCTCCCCACTGGTCCTAGCACCAAGCTGCTGGAACTGGAGGAAGGGGACCGCTCCTCACTGTCCCCAGCAGGGAGCTTTCAAGGTAAGCCCATGTGCCAACCCTCTGCCCCATCTTGAGCTCCCCACAACCATGAGCACACTTCTGCACCCCAAAGTTCTCATCCCTAGCCCCAACCCAAAAGCCTACTCCACTAACCCAGAACTCCCTCCTGCACCCTCACTCCTTCCCCAAACCCCCTTCTCTACCCTGAACTCCTCATCCTCAGCCCACCCCAGGCTCTACTTCCAGCTAGAGCCCTTGCATCCTGATGCTGAGACCCTCAACTCAGCCCTACCATAGAGCCTGCACCTCCAGCCGGAGTCCTCAGACTTCTGCACACCAACTTCTGACCCCAGCCCTGAGTTCCCTCCCACATACAGAACCCACTTGGCCCCACTCCCACCACATGAATTTTATGTGCACTAGGGATGTTAACGTGTAGTTCACTACACGATTAATCAATAAGCCTTGGCTTATCAGTTAATCTTATTGATTACAAGCACTCCCCACCCCACTTGCTGCCTCTGTCCACAGCCAGTTCTGGCTGCCACAGACAGAGGCTGTTTCATAGCAGTCTCCCCCACTCCCTCCCTCTCCTGGCAGCAGCTTCTGTCCACCAGGAGCTAGACTCCAACAAACAGAGGCAACAGACAGCCGGTCTGCGTGGGGAGCTGTTTTTTAAGCCACCTCCCCCAGCACCAGCTCTTGCTCCCCCCCTCCTTTGCTGCCTCTGATACAGAGAAATTTGAGTACTCAAGAAGATTAACTAATAAGCCTAGGCTTATCATATACTCAACTAGTCACTTTCATCCCTACTGGGCAACATAATTAAAAAAAATACTGATATATGAGTTATAACACAAACATCCAGAAAAACCTTACAAACAGCGAATGAGGATTTTCAAAGGAGACCCTATGATGGAGAAAGTTCACATTTCTTGCTTCTGGAAGGGCTGCTCACTAATAATTTATGGAAATCTAAATTCCCACTACTAAAGACCATGATGTACCAAAGAAATGAATGTGTATTAGAACAAAGGTCATATTCTCTTTGACTTCTGTGCAGAAAATGCATAATCTGACAAGCGAAGATATTTATTTGGCAAGATGAATCTTTATGCATTTGCAAATTATGTCATTGGCTACTGGAATATAAAGGAAAAAGAGGGGCAGAAAACATCCATTAGTTTCTCCACGAAAGACGACATGATAAATGATGGACATTAATGGTATTGCTTGAATAGCTATTGTTATAATTGTATAACAGTTTTGGATAAATTTATTATAGTTTATGACATTAAACGTTCATAGTGATGAGCTAAAAAGTTAAGAATGGGTTTATTTTTCATCATGACAAAGAAATACGAACCTGTGTATTGTTTTTAGAAACCAATATGCACTTAATTTTCAAATGAAGTTATCTGAATGGATTTTAGAAGTGTACAGCAAAATTATTCAACCCCTCTAATTTTCTTTACAAAGTATTGTCAAGTGGGAACATAGTCTCCACTAGAAACCTCGATAAACACTGTAACTATCACAGTGTGTTTAACACTGTACATAACAGAGAAACAAAGTTCCTACCCTATATAATTTACAATGGTCTCAATTTATTATTAAATACTACAGAAAAAGATAAGCCTGACAGACGTTACAGATTTTTTAACTACAAGTTTTTCCTCACCCACATCCATTTATATTGTCTTTTCTCCATATATCTATGCTTTTGGATGGTTACACAAATTGGGTATAGCACACAAAAGGCTATTCCTGGGGGAATTCTGCAAGACTATGCACCCACCAAAAAGAGTCCCAAATGCCTGTGCTTTCCAGCAGAAAATATCAGCACAGGGAAGTCACATGGGAGAGATTCCAGAGGGACAATCCTGGGCAGTTTTGGGGCATAGAGAGCACATGGAATAACCTGCCACTGCCTCCCTCCCCCATTTCTGTGCGGGCAGAGCTGCCTAGCTGAAGAAATCTGCATCTTGGCTCCATTGACTCTGCAACTGAACAATGCTTCCTGGGTCATAGTGTCAATCTGGTCCCTATTCTGTGTGCTGGGATCTTTCCTGTTTTCTGTGCAACAATGAATGCCTACAATGGGGCTGGGTAAGGGAAGGCAGGGGAAATGAGGAAGCAAGGGAGTGAGGAGGTGAGACAAAGAGGCAGCTGGCAAGGAAGAGGAGATGGAATAGGGCAGAGGGAGAGAAATGTGGAAGTGAGAGGAAGGCGGGCAGTGGAAAAGGGGAATGAGATGAGGAAGAAAAGAGGATGGGGGAATAATGAGGGAAGCAGAAGTCTGGCATGTGATGTTCCTTCAACAGCAGCTGGAGCTCCCGTTAGCAAGCCCACTGAATCCTCACCCTGACAAATCCTAGCCCCCCAAATGGCCCCCACACCCAGATCCTCATCCCACTGGGCTCCAACCAGCCACACCTGGACCCTGACACCATCAATCCACATTCCCCCAGCACCCAGACACTCCCACTAAGTCCCCACACCCAGGATTCTCCCACAAATCCCCATGTCACCATACCCAGACCCCCCCCCCCCTCTGCTGAGCACCAACCACCTTTACCTGGATTTCCTGAAGAGTCCACTGACACTACACCTGGACACCACCACCCAAATGAGCCCCTGTGCATCCAAATCTGCCACTGAGACATCAGCTTGCCTGACCCAAAAACTTCTCACCCGAAACATGGATCCCCCACACAAAGCATCTCCATCCTTGGATCCTACTGGGCTGAGCCTGCCCACTCACACCTGAGGCACCTAGGGCAGAAAAACAGAGCCCAGGTTTCTTTGGGGCAGTCCCAGACCTTGCACTGAGCTAAAGTTGGGTGCAGCTGCACTGCCAAGTCCCAGGTGTGAACTAGGAGGCCTGGATATAATTCCTTTTTTATATCATTATTAAATATTTCATATGCAAGCATGAAATAATTGTACCTGTATGAGACCTTTTATGGAGCTCCAAATTGCTTGGATGTTTAAAAGCCTTTCCACATAATTCACAAGTATATTGCCTCTGTGACTGAAGAATCTGTGATTGCTCTTCTTGCTCTGAAGGACCTTGAGATATTTCCATTTCAACAGTTTGTTCAAAACTCTCTGAACTAACAAGATCTTCAGTTTCTTTTTCTTCAATGGCACTAATATTTGTCATCTCCATGGCACTTCCATTTACAGATTCAATTACCCTTGTTATATTGTTGTCATCTCTCTTAGGTTCAGACAACTGTTCTGCAGACTTCTGTGATCTTAGAAAATTCAGTTTTTTCAGGTGTATTGCCTTTTTCAGTTGCATCTGTTGGGTTGGCTGCAAGGACGTGTTTTCCAAATCTTGGTCTGGTGTAGATTCATTCAAGGCCTGAACCAGAAAGTTTGATGGTAAGTGGTCAGACGATTCCAAAATACATTCAGATTGACTGACAGTACAAGAATTGTTCTCTACCGTACTTAGTTCAGTAGATGTATTGAATGCAAAGGACTGTTCTGTTATTCTCTCTTGGTTGGAACATGCATTTTGCTTGTAGAACTGCTTGCTATAAAAATTACGCAGTTTATAATAGTAATTTGGCTGTTTAAAAGGGAGCTCTGTGCAATTACCATCTAAGGAGTCTTGTGTCTGTTTCTGTACATCACCTGAGGAAGTATGAAGATTAATAGTTTGTGATCCGTGAGAATGATGGTCATCCAACACTTTACTCGGTTGTGCATCTGATGAGCATTCATGCAGTAAGTTAGTACCATAATTTTCATTTACACAGTTAGTCTCTGTAGCCAAAGTACTTTGCAAGGAGAACACACTATTGCAAGGCATGCTAGCAGGCTGTTCTACCGCTGTAGAAGATTTTAAAAAAGTATGGCAAATGTTCAGCACATTTTGCACTTGTAGACATTGTGCGATATCCAACATAGCTTGTACGTTATCCTGGCTAAGATCAAGGTGTGAGGTGTACATGAAGTCCAAGATTTGGCCTATACCTCCTACATTTTTAATGTCCAAGTGAAAAACATCATTCTTCTGGCCTGGAGAATTCTGAAATAGGGTCCTGATGAAATGAAGCATAACTCTTTATAATATACAAGCATATACCCTACTAGTTTGAACTTTTTAAATAAAATATCTGTCAAACATAATATCTTACGCCAAAGTGAATCAATAACTCAATATGTAATATGGGGCTGCAAGACAGTTGCTCTGGTATTTACTGACAGGACTTTTGAAAATGCTCATAATTAGCCTAATTCTGTAATTCACTACAAGGGTGGAGAAGCATTGCAATGGGTTACCTAGGGAGGATGTGGAATCTTCATCACTAGAAGTAAAGTCCTAGCTTGACAAAGTCCTGGCTGGGATAAGCTAGTTGGGATTGGTCCTGTTTTTAGCAGAGGGTTGGACTTGTTGACCTTCTGAGGGCTCTTCAAACCCTCTGGTTCTATGAAATGGGAGTTCTACTGTTGACTTTAACATTAACAGCTATTGAAAATCTCACTGTATACTTATAATTTCCTATTTTATGTGTTCTAAATATCAACTTTAATCTTGTGTTAGTGTATTGTTTGTGCACAAGTAAATTGACAGAGAAGGGGGGGCTTCCCCTTTCCTTCTGGCAAACAGAATGGGGAGTAAGAAAGGAAGCACTATATTTAGCTAATCAAAATTAAAATAAAGATGGGACCCTATAGTTCGGAAAACCAAGGTATTTCCCCCTTCCAGCAAATAAGCACTTCCTTTGGGCTCTGCCAGTGTACCTCACTAGGGTACATCCTACTTAGAGCTCTGCCTCTAACAAGTAGGTTTAAATGGATGGTAAATTTTTCAAGCTGTGGCCATATCCATAGAACAAAATCACTTTATATACATAATTGTTTGCATATAAAATGTGCACTACTGTACTACCTAAGCCTTCTGTAATTGTTTTTATTATTTTTGGGCTGGAATGTTTAAAGGATCCTAACTCCCTTCAGCTCAAACTTGGTGGCCAAAAGTCTTTGGGCATGAGTCCTTTTATTTTTGACAGTGTTTATGACACTTGGACAGGTGGAGAAACATTTGAATATCAACTTTCTTTCCCCTCAGGAAGTCTTGGTAGCACATGCTTTAGTGATGGTGCAAGATACAGGGTAAAAAAATCATACCAGATTATTCACTGACAGGCAAGAAAAATTGTCTTACCCAGCATCCCAAGACAAGTGAATAGTAAATGCTGCTCACTGCAGGAACTGCTGACACACTTATGTTACAGATGCACTGACTAGCACATCAAGATATTTCAATATGTGAATCTGATACAGATACATATTCAGAAAAACTGAAAAAAGAAAACTGTCCTCCTGCTCTGTTTCCTTTTAAACACCAAAGAGCAAAGGACAATGATGTGGTTGTCTGACCCACTAAATCTCTCACCTGGCTCTGCTCACCGTATTGCAATGCAAACCCAAACTGCATTTTGGAAGGAGTGCGTATTACTATGTACTGCATTTTTGTCAACACCCTCCCACCAGAAATTGGGGCCCCACTATGCTAGGGTCCTGTATGTATGCAATGAAAAGAGGCTCTCAAAGAGCTTACTGGCTAAATAAGTACAAGTACAAAATAACTTAAGCATACCATATTTTCTAATTAGACCAAATGTGAGATACAGATTATCTCTGGACAAATGATCCAAGTTCTCCTTACTTTTTTCTTCTAACCTGTGATTAGCATTCCTAGCTAGCAAAAAAGTTCTCTCCTCAGAGATTAAGACATGAGTTATATAGTATCCTGTTTATTTCTGCAATAACAATATTTCCTACTACATACCTGAAATACTGACTGAAAGCAGCTAACACATTTTTATGAGCTTTGAAGCAGACACCTTTTACTACCAACATGCAGTCACAGAGAAGGCCTTGAATGCGCTGTTCATGTAGCTGCTGGAGAAGATGACAACTATGGCTAGCAACAGTGTCCATGCTAGAATACCATTTGATTACCTACAACATATAAAAATACTCTGGGAATTAAGTTTTAAATTACAATAGTGCAATTGCAGAACAAATTTTAAATTACATTAAAATTAATGTATTGCTACTATTTTCCCTATCTTGCAAGGGAAACAGATGTCTAATCATATTCCAGCAATTTAAAGATTAATGAACAAACTATTGATGATTAATGTCTGTAACCATGCACACAGAAAGTTTTATTAAAGTGAATATTTCCTATTACAATGATTTGTGCACAAATATCTGGTAATGGAGATGCTGCAAAAAAATTAAACTTTATAGCTATACATACTCCATATTCACTTCAACATGTATTAGACTTAAGCAAACAGAACACAGAAGATCCAAAGATAAGATCCACAAATTTAACAAGTACCTGGTACAGGAAAAAACTTAGTTTCTTAATTCTCTAAAATCAGAACAGAAAATCCTTCAATGACCAAACTCAGTTACTATCAAATATATTTATATCGTGCTCATTGCTGTAGCACTAAACACATTTCACTTATAGTTGTCATATACATAAAATATAGCAGTATTAGACATTACTATTTTTCACAGAAAAGAAAGTACATTATATTTAAAGTCTCTTTGAGCTGCTCACAAAAGTGATCTGGAATAGAAAATATCTAACATTTGTTCCCAAATGAAGAGCTGTACATAACCTATGCTTTATTTTAATTTTTGCCTACAAGACTAAGAAAGGAGGAAGAATACAATATTTTAGGGGCTTCTCTTCACTACTGGATGTATCAGTGAAATTTTAATTGGGTCACCCATCAAAAGAAATTTGTATATTTGCATCCCACTATTAAATTAGTTTTCCATCATTTTTTCAGGACTACTACAGGGCACCATCCTGGAGTATTTTTGATGCATTGCCTTTGAATGCATCCTAATTATACTCATCTGCTATTCAGAAGTATTATTTCACTACGCCGATTGTTAAAATTCCTATCAGAGTTCACTGAAAACCTCTTAACATTATGATAGTCCCTAAAACCTCTCCCTACTCCACAGGATCTGATAGTTTACTGAAGCAATCTGCAACATTGGTGACTGTGTTTAAGGATGGTGATTGCAAGTGCCTCTCTCCCTTGGGGTGGAAGGGAACCCAAAGATGCTAGAGTCACTGTCTTATCAGGAATAAAATCAGCAGCAATCTAGGTTGTTCTTTTAAATGTTAGAAGAAGTCTTCATGAAATCAGAATAAGAAAGGAAACAGCCTCAGATATAACACAGGGAATCGTTTGCTCCAATATTAGCATGTAAGGAATGTGAGAGACACACCACCCTTACATTAACCCAAAGGTGAAAGTAAGCCTGTGCGCCCCAGTACAGCTCATGGGTCAGAGACTGGCTGGCTGGGCTCTAGAACAGTGGTCCCCAACCTTTAGAGGCTCCCGGGCGCCCGGGGCCACTCACGCACCA